TTTAAAAAATAAAGAAATTAAAATTCAAATATAATATATATATATATATATTTTTTTTAAAAAAAATTTTACTAAAACAAAATGATTTAACATGCTGGCACGTTCAATCTTTTGATTTGGTGATTCAGGTTTTGACTAAAAAGACTTCGTGGCAGCTGCAACTATCTTTGTCAAAAGATCGTTTAGGTTAGATCATTGTCTAAATCTAATTTGTCCTCCTAATTAATTTTCTAATTTTCACTAATTTTTCTAATTACCCATAATTTTTTTTTTTTTTTTTTTTATGTATTTCAATATATAAATATATTACTTTTATATATGTATATATAAAAGGTCAACAAAGAGAAATGCACGCATAATCATACCCTAATATAATCATACCCAATAAACTTTTACTACAAAATACGAAATTGAAGAATTCAACATCACTCTCCTCCTCGGTTGGAATGGATGAATCATAATTAACTTGTAACTTTATATGTATATGTATGTATTTATAATAGTCATAATAATAATTGAGTAAAGAAACGAAGAGTGTAAGAGGTTTATTTTGTAGCGTAGTTGACAGAAGGAGAGACAGGGTGGGACCCACACTTACACTGTCCGCACGATCTTTCATTACGACTCATTCAATTACGAATCTTTTTTCAAAATCAAACCGCGTCCCCCATAATTATAACCATTTTGTTTTACATTTTTTTGCATGTACATACATATACATATACATATGCATTATATTATTTATGCAGACAACTATACAGCATAAAAAGTTTGGGATTCATGCGACCTCCACCCGGAAGCTTTATTATTTTCTTTTTCTATTTTTTTTGTACTGGTTTAATATATGTTATCTTCTAAAAAGTTTTTAATTCATTTTTATTTTCATTATTACTATACTTATATACAATAACGAGTTACAACCACAATTACAAATATAATCAGTCAGCCAAAATCAAACTAATTAAGATTATACAAAATTAATCAAAATAATTCTATTAATAAAAAAATTGAATTATCTTCTCAAGTATTGAAACTATAAGAGCAAAAAAAAAAATTAGGTTAAACGGAATTGTCTCTCCCTCTAATTGACGACAAATAATAAAATCATAGTTAAAAAAAAGCGGGGCCCAGTTCCACCAAATACAAAACCCAAGAGCCCATCAAAATTAACCTCACTCGGCCCGGCCCATTCAGGTTAGCCTCCTGAGCACCACCAAAATGACACCGTTTTGGGAAGAGAAATTTTACCCTCAAAACGTTGACGTTTTGACCAATTTTTTTATTTTCTTCCCCCTTGCTTCGTCAACAGAGAGCCGGTGAGGCTCGGGTGTGATGATGATTTTGGCAAAAAAGAGAAGCCGTGACACGAAACGAGGCTAAGAAAAAAGAAGATTTTGGCTTCTGGTTTTGAGAGGAAGGATGATGATGATGATGATTGCGTGCGGGTGTGACGAGCATAGCTAAGGAGAATCGGAAGGGAAAACGACAAGACGCCAGGTCCTGCTCTCGAGTTGACGATGCCGTGAAAAAGGAAGAATGAAAGAAAATTTTTGGTTATTGGCGGAAGAAATGATTAGGGTTTTTCTTGACTATAAAAGGACGCTGTCGATGAAGAAAGGGGCAGCAAGTTCATGCAAGGAGTTCGTGGGAAAAAAAAACGTTGAATCTTCAATAGGGAAGATGAGAAAAACCTTCACGGTAGCAGAAGATATGGAGCTTTTTTCTAGGCCTAATTTCACAATATTATCTTATATTCCTTTATATTAGGTTTTATAGATGGAGGATGGCCTTGGTTACACACTAGATGAAGCATTTATTTCTCTAGGTTTTGGAAACTTCTAAGGTCGTTAACTGGTTAATTGCTGGACTTGGTTAGCTTTACAGATGCTATGGAGATTAATATCTTCTCTTTCATAAGGCTTGCAATTAAGAACATGGTGAGAACTCTTCTCAATTAAGGAAGCTTATTAACAACAGTTATTTTTCTGATGTGCTAAACGGAGCAATTCATGGGACTTCATATCAGATGACTTCTCAAGGAAGTAGTTTATTTTCGGAAGAGCAAAACCAAATTCGTGATATACCACATCTAGTGTTATATTTAATCGGTATTATAATTTATATGTATATTTCTAATATTATAATTTTTAGTGCCGTTAGAATTCCAACTCAGCTAATTTTAACCGATTTAGAAATTTTGATTTGGTTATTAATAAGCTAAAACGATTTAGTTCAAATTTTGACCGAAAACTGATCAAGTTTTGTCAGTTCTTAGCTCCAAATTTAATTAAATAATATTTTTATCATAAAATATATATTATATACAAGATAATAGATAAAAATTTGGTTAAATTCAGTTGATTCTATGGATTAATATATAAGTATTCTTATATTAAAAGTTTACGTAGTTACATAAATTAAAATTTTGCTTAATAATATTAGTAAATAGTACATACATTTAATTAATAAAATCACCTTTCAATATTTTTCATATTTGTTCATTTTGTGGCAGCAAACTTTTTACAAATTCAATGAAATGAATGTTGATCCTCTCTAAAAAATGTTCAATTGGAATATAAAAAAATAGTTGAGTTTGTCATAATTATTCTTTTTTAAGACTGAACGGACAAAAAGAGAAGATTTTCGAATAAGAAAAAAAAATACTCAATTAACTTTGAAAAAATTGAAAATCTTTTTATATATTTTTGTTGAATGACACAAAAATTACTTATACGAAAAAAAAACTAAATTTTACTTTATGTAAATTTATTAGACCACAACTAACATTTGAATTTGAAATCACTACTTATATATTTAGTACTAACATAATTCACAAAAATATTCTATAATCTTAGTAAGTGAGAGAATAGTTAAAAAATTTTATCCAATATAAGATATCATATTATTTAAAGAACCCTACATGTTGGTAAGTAAAAATTTGTCAACAATATAATACATTATACATTTTTGTTAAGACTTGTATCATTTGCATGCATTGAACATGTACATCTGTATCACAACACAACAGATTCATTTGTATTTCATTCAGTTCATCAATTTGTTTTTGGCTGATACAATCTTCAAGCAGAAGTATTACTTGTGTACATCCAATTTTAAGCCTTTCTGCAAGGCAATAATCAAGAGTTTCCTGCTTGTTAGTTAGATCTTTGTATGGAGCCTAGTGTGATCCAATGCGGCCACATTAGACCTCTTCGTTTCCACTCTGAAAAACTAGCCAGCTCCAGAGGAGATTACAGTTTTGTTATACCTTTTGTCCATTTTTAATTTATTCAAAAAAAAGATAGTACCCTGGAAATTTTACTTTTTGCTGTAAAAGAAACCACTTTCTGGTCTCTAATGGATCTGGAACAAAGATTACTAATTTAAAAAAACTGAGCCAGAGAATCATATTTATTGAACCTCATAGATTATGTCAAAGTTCTCACCAATGATTAAGATTATGTATATCATATTAAGTTCATTCAAAAACTTGTTTACCAAAGGTCCGTGAGCATCATCTTTGTTCCAAGAGGATCATCTGTGATTCCCCTTAAAATGATTACCGAACAAAATAGTGTTCTTGAAAATTACAGAGCTTTAGCTAGTAACTTAGATCAGGCACTTCTCTTATCAAAAAGATGCAACACTTATAACATCATTGATAAGGATCATTTCTGTTCTTCCAATAAAAATGAACAGGATTAAGTGTTTACAATACACCAAACTACTAATCTCAAATATATTTTGGGCAAGTTGCCATTTCACAGTTCTTCCTACTTTATCTACAATCAATGTATATTTCCGCTTGGTTAGCTTGGACATACACTAAAGGAAAGTATGCTTTGACAACAAAAGAAAGTAAAAGTATAGACAGGAAAAAGCTATATGATTCGGGGTGCAGAGGGGACAATGTTCACTCAATTCCCCTGAGGGATATCTCCACAATATCGTTAATGGCACTACACTGCATTCCAGTCCAAATCAGACCTTACTCAGGTTTAGGTTTAACCTTCAATTTATCTTAGGCTTTGGTCGTCTTGGCTTCAATACCAGAAAAAGAACTCCTAAAACAATCAGGAAAGCGGGAATAGTTGTCACATCAAACACTAAATGGACTTTCCTCTCTTTCATGCAGTGAATGGGGTGGAGAAGAGAGATGGTTGCATTCACTTCATCTACAAACCTGCAGCCAAAATGAAGAAATCCAAAGTAAGCCAGTATCCATGCGATTGTCGTAGTTACTGCCAAACAATCTAAAGAGATAGAAGGCCAAGCATAATTGTGTTTCAACATCTTCTAGCAACTTCAGAAAGGCTGTCAATAACTCAAATAAATAGTTTAACTTATTGAACCAGATCCTCAACCGAACTTTAAGAGTTCTCAACATAACACCTTTTACTTAATATACTCACAACTCTTGAGATACTTTGCCATTCAACATTTGAAGTCCTACGCTAGGAGGACGATTTATCATCTCCATTTTGATCGTAATGGCCTTTTTTCTCTTTCTAATCATATTTCTTTTATTAAAAAATATATAAACAATAACAAAAGCAAATGCAGAGTCAGTCGCTTGACCTTGAAATCAAACTCCAAATAGAGAAAAATATTATCTTGGAAAAATTCCATTTGAGAGATGTAGTTTGGGTGGTAATTCCCTTTTTCACCATGTTCTATCTGAAAGCACAAAACTATCTAGCATTGAGTAAGTTACCCCATTTTCATGGGGAAAAAAAACATCCTATCCGTTTTCTGTCCATTAAGACTAACATAAACAGATGAATCTTGAGGGAATATGTTCGTTGGGCATAAATCAATAAAGATCCAGGAGAATTCCAGACCACTACTAGGCAGAGATTACATCCAATCTTCAGTATGAATAATCCAAATATTTCATCTAACATTCATCTGCCAAAAGTTGTTGCCTTTTTGGAAAGTACAACATTCCTCCTATTTATAGTCAAAAAGAGATGCATGTTCAAGAAATATGTTAGTTTCTGCATAAATCAACATAAAGGTCATAGGAAGACATCAGATCAACGAGAAGAATGGAATAACATTTTCATCCAATTTTTCAATCAATGCTAAGGCTGGACAAGCATTGTCCTCCAACTTCCAGATCAATGCTAAGACTAGGCAGACATTTTCATCCAATTTTCAGACCTACACAACCAAATCATCCCAAATACTGCATACAATTTTCATCTCCCAAAGGAAAACATTGCATATACATCAGACTAATGCTAAAGTGGAAAGAGATATTTCAAACATTCTAATAGCCATGTAAGTTCCTCAAATTTGATTAATTTTACATTAAAATTTTGACATGTTTTTTCCTTCTTACATGGTGATTTATAATTTCAGTTGCCGTATTTTGGATAGCAATGTTTTTCAAATTTATCAATGCCAACAAAAGTTAGTTGCTTTACTAGCTTTTATTAGCTTTCTGACTAACAGTTGAGTACTATCCACAACCTTCCTGTGTGTGTGTGTGTGTGTGTGTGTGTGTATATACGCATGTGTGTGAAAGAAAGACGGTGAGAGATGGGAGCAGTCTACAAAAATGTGAAATCATCTAAAAGGATTATAACAAGGGTAGTTTTCCTCCTTGATCATGTGGATAATGTAAATTTTGCAACAACTTTCTATCTGCATTTAGAGAATTTCCTTTGTAAACCATATACTTACTGACTTCACCTTGATTCTTAATGATCTTCTTACTTATTTTATAAGAAGAAAGTAAAACAATATTAAAATACAGATATTCAGAAAAACATTTTTGTAGTAGAGTTAAATGGTGCTATTGGAAAATGACAATAGGTTCATTCGCTAATACATTTATGCATCCATGTGCTTAAAAACATTTCCCTATTGAAAATTAATATGGATAAAAGAGGGCTTATTGGAATTAATGTGGGAGATAAATTGGTTGACTACCTAGCGGAATCAATGGGTTGTACAAAACTATCTTGGCCCATTAAGTATCTAAGAGTTCCATTAGATGGCAACCAGAGGAGTAGGACTTTCTCAAAGGGGGTAGAGGATAAAGTAGCTAAGCATCTTGAGAGTTGGAGCAGTGGTCTTTTCTCTTTAGGGGAAAGGGTCACCTTGATTAATGCATGTCACTCTAGCATACTACTTTATTATCGATACCTATTTAAGATACCTCCAGGGATAATTGAGAGGATAGAGGGTAGAATTAGAAGATTTCTTTCCACTGGAGTAGCTGATAGCATAGAGATAATCTAATGCGGTTGGAGGTCTATTGTCATTCCAAATATTTAAGGGAGTCGGCCATTGAGAATCTCATATCAAAGAACTAATCTCTATTAGTGAAATGGTTATAGCACTTTCCTCGTAAACCAAACTCTTTATGGCACAGGATAGTAAACAGAATCCATGGGAGTGAAAGGGATGGATAGAATGTTTTTATTGAAGATCCAAAATCCTTAGAAATTCATCTCACAAACCCACCACTTGTTTACCTCACTCATCCGGCTACAAGTGGAAGATGGAACTAGAGTGTTATAGTGGGAAGATACTTAGACGGGGGATTAACTGCTTGCCATCAAATTACCTTTGGTTGTACAATCTGTCAACCAGACACAATACTCATGTCTCTATCTACCAATTAATACCAAGGGAAGACTATCTTGGAACTTCCACTTCAATTGTAACCTATCTAATAGGGAGACTTTTGATCTGTTAACTTTACTGACCTTGCTAGATCCTATACATATAACATTCCACCCAGATAGCCAGTCCTAGATTCTTGAACCTTCAAGGTTGTTTTCATCCAAATCTTTCTTCAGTCACCTCATTAATAACCCCAATCTAATTGCCAAGGTATTTTTAAAAATTAAAGTTCCTTCGGTAAATATATTTTCATGGACTGCTATTAATCAAAAGGCTCAATAACAATACTTCCTTCAAATCTGTTACCCTCACTGTGCTTTATCTTCTAATATGTGTTATGTGCTTCAGAGACAGTGAGATCCATCCTCACTTGTTCCTGTACTGCAGCACCGCCTAGAGGTTGCGGGTAGATCTGATAAATAAGTTTAGCCTAAGCTGGGTGGTACCTCCTAAGTAGGAAGCTTAATGAATTCTTTTATCCGGGGGGTGAGGGTGAGAAAAGAGGCGAAGGTTCAGCAGCAAGGTGCTATTTTTATAGCTTTGGTGCATTTGGCTAGTAAGAAATTTTTCGGATTTTTCATGACCAATCAATGTAATTTTATGAGCTAAGAGAGAGGGTGACTTTCATGGCATGCCTTTAGGCAAAAGCACACAGACATTTTCCGAACATTAGCCTCCCAGAGCTTCATTGTACAGGGACATTATCATTCATAGGGAATAGAGAAGCAAATTCTCATGCAGCAATTTTGAGATTTTCACTTTTGTTTATGTATTGAGGATGTATTATTCTCCAATTTTGTAACTCTTCTCATCTCTTCTTTCACAATGCTTCTTTTATTTATTTTTTTTAAAAAGGTAAGTGTTAAATGGTGCCTAAATTGGTTCGTGCCTGGGGTTAGGACCATATCCCAAGCCAAGATATCCCTGATCTCGAGACCATTCTTTGGATTTATTATAGGTGAAGTTATGCTTCAATTCATATCCGAGGTAAAACCATGAAGATCAAAGAAAGGAGTAGAGGAAATGATGAGAGAATGAGAGGGGAAAAATATTAATACAATTACATATAGCATAGAGAATCCAATTCAACATTTTAGACAATTGAAGATGAAACTAAATAAATTTGCACTGTTCTGTACTAGACAAATAAGGACAGACCTTTTTTGGAGGTTTATACACTCCTTAAATGATAGTATAACTTGTTATGTGATTGAAGTGATAAGTCCCTACCTTTTGTGAAGGAAAAATAATGCAACAACAAATAAGCTTACGCCAACAGTATTGGCATACTGCTTAAAGTAAACATATATAGTCCCAGAAATAATGATAGAAACCCACAAGAACTTACACTTTGGATGCATCCTCTAAAGTAAACAGCAGTCTCATGGCATCCACATAACGCAACTCCCCAGCAACACTTGCAATCTGTAAATATAATAATGTTGCCAACCGTTAAAACCATTCAGCTTTAAATATAATGAAGGAAAAGAATTTGAAATGGAAGCATTATCATAAGACTGAAATAGTTAATAAGCAAATGCACTTACTCTTCTCCACAGGCTCACAACATATTTATACTTGTTCACAAGCTCATGCTCCCGGGAGTGGAAGAGCTTAAAGGTTTTTGCAGCTGGTTATAGTTAAGTCTTTATACAAATGTCAGTTTTTGATGGCAATAACCAATGCCAGATAAAACATAACTGAATAAGCCTTTTTTACAAAAGAATAAAAATATTAAAGGAGATAGAACTGTTACAAAGATAAGTCACCAAAATAAAGGTCTAAAATATGAGACCTTAATGGATCAACTTTTCTCATGAATAAAGTGATAAGAAAAATTTATACTAGTCCTTGTTCTTAGAAAAACTTAAGCAAATCCCCCTTAAAAATTACTCTGCACCTTAGAATCAAGCATTTCGGCCACCCCCAAAATCTATATGCTTCTGTATATGTTCACCAAAGCTAGCTCTCTAACTCTCTAGTAGAGAAACTAACATGCTCCCTCTTTTCCTAATAGAATCATATCCATCCTCCTCTATATTTCTCAATTATGCTCAGATAATAATAGCAATCTTTGTCTTGGAATCAACTGCCAAATTTCTCATACCTCCTATGACTCCTAAGTAAATAAAATGTTCTAAAAGGAAGAAAATGAAAATGATCTTTTATTTTTGAAAAAAGGATAAGTTATATGTACAAACAATAGGTGCCACTCATTTACAGCAAAAGAAAATGTAGTGAAAGACAGTGTTAATCGACAAAGGATTATGGTCATCCTACCCTCAATAGCACATCTAGTTTAGCCTAATGACCTTCCCTAATCTTAATTTTCTCTCTTTATTTTTTCGCAGAGGCAAATATTGATTCAATAAAAATAAATTAACTGTTTTAGTGTCAGGATTTATTACCTTTACAACTTATATCACATTATAAAGCAAAACAACAGGAAAAACTTTTCCTGCCAAAAAATGGGGTGTTTGCCTGGGAGCATTCCAGAATGAAGAAGCAGGTCTTGAAGCCAAACTAAGTCATTTGTAATTGAATGGATTAGCTGCAAGCATGGTTTGGTCACATATGGCTTTCATATGGTTAACCTTTATATTACTATTCTATTGAGAATTCACACATTCATGTGTCTATTCCTATGCCTATCGCCGTATTTTTAACAAATGTAAGCCCTATTGTATGTTAATTTACATACAAGCATGTTAAATATATGTAAGCCTTATTGTATGTCAATCTTTTTTAGGCAATTATTGTATGTTAATTTACATACAAGCATGTTAAATATATGTATACAATACATATATTTGTATCTTTACATATGTGTATCTATGTATGTCTTTATTTATGCGGGATATCATGTCTAACCCGTCCAGTTATTCAAATGCCATAATAACAGAAGGCAAGGATACTTGTTCGCTCCATAAGTAGATCATGAATAGCTGAATTGACCTTTTGAATTGATTCCTCAAGAGTAGTGATAATATAGCTCCGAGCAATTGTATCCAACTGAAATTGTGATATGTGCCAACCTTGAGAAGTAATAGCAAAAGGGTTGCAGCCCACAGACCATATCCAATCCTGTTAAATTCCAATATGATTCTTTAATTAATATTTTGACAGGAGATACAATCAGCAGGATTTCACGAATGCTCGAAGTAGCAAATGCCCAAACCAGTAGATATACATTGACAAATGTCAGAAAGAATGAGAGAAACAAAATAATGAGAAGTACAAGTGATGGTCCTTCTATTTGATATGTAGGTGAAAAGATTTTGATTCATGCATTAACAACAAATTTCACAGCCAGCACCGAAAGGAATGGAGCCTCCTCATTGAGCTAGAACTCAATCGGGAGCCATAAATACTGAAAAATTGATAAATTGTCACATGGTAAAATTTATGCAATGATATTCTTATGTAAATCATATAGCCCTCACACCATGTAGAATAGTTTGATCAAATCGACAAGAACTATAATTATTATATAAAACATATTGCTCATACTAAAGAGAACAATATTGTAAGATCCAAGTCATTATGCATTTTGACATCTGATCAAGTAGAGGTGCACATCTCAGTTATTTGAACTAGTAGTTGACAAGTAACCAAAGCTGCGGTATGTTAAATTGTGTGCCTAACTATTTAGAAGGAACAGAATATAGAGATCATCAATTTGACTATGTATTGGGTGCCTTCTAAAAAGTATCTTACATAAATTTTGAATATCACTAATAGCATATCTAAATTTGATCCCTTAACACAAGTTGCATACGTCTTCACTGTGTACTGCTTGAAAAGTAACCTTATTTTGTACAACACAACATAGTGATAGAGAAGAAACAATGAACCAGAGAAAATGATTGCAGAACAAACCTCAATAGCAGTTTCATGGGCTTGACTGTAGATGAGATGAAGGGGAAGCAAGCCAGCCATATGCTCAGAAACAGCAGCCAATGCAGCTTTTATCGGCCTCCTAAATTTGTTTTTTAAGGTGGAAGGAGAAACAAAGGGTAAAAGGTGAATAACATAAACTATATTCAGAGATTCCCTGACTTCAATACATATATACAAGGAGTATAATGTATTCAGACTTTAACTGCTTTCTGGGGGAAAAACATCATATCTTCTTTTGAGTTCCAATCTTAAACTCACCATCTAAATAAAAGTATTTTCCAGCCAAAAAAGGATATAGTAGTACTTCATTTTTTTGAGGAAAATAATATTAGCTCTTGTAGAATACATCAATACTTGAGTAATATCTTTGAAGGCAAAAACTACATTCAACTTGGCATAAGAAAATGTGAGATAGATGCAAATATGGGATGCAAAACAGGCAAGACAGCCACCCTTGCTCCCTTCTTAAAATTAGTAGCAATCTGCTAGCAATTATCAAGTTGGAACTTTCGCAACTTTCACCACTAAAACCCAAGAGCCAGCAATTTTCCATGGCACACAGATCAAGAGCCCTGTAGTATATAATGTTGGTTTAAATGCAAAATGCACCATGGTTTTTGAAGCTGCTATGCAGGTCAAGAGGACTGAATCTCATGTCACAGCAGAGGGTTAAACTATTTTGATTGGTGAAAATACAAAAAAAAAAAAAAAAAGATAGGAAGTATCTTAACAAAACAAGAAAAATGTCTGACTGGTTTTGGATAGGTAATTCATTATCTTTTTAACACCAAGGAAAGCGAATACTCCCAATCCACACGTTTTGGCAAGGTAATTTTGATAAGGGCAGAAGTAGAGACATAAACCAACTGATGATTGAAATTATATGCCCAAAATCTAACCTTAAATCCCACAAAAGTGATTTTCCATTGCAATGTTGATGGCTTTCCCAGGATGACGCCTCCGACTGAACAACAATAACCATGTCTGAAAGCGCCTTTGCCTGATAATGCTTATCAACTAATAAAGGCTCCCCATGAATGAACCAAAAGATTGGAACTTCTAGTGTGGACCTGCTGTGGGCATGAGCTCCTGTATTTTATAATTAATATATTTAATTCTAGAAGCTTCAAACACACCTAGTTATACAAGTATTGAGAGGATATTTAATAGATCGAGCAAACATTAGTTACAATATTCTCATGCAAACAATTTACTTTATTACTTTCTTAAATACAAAAGAAAGAAAACACACAAGAACGAGAATTTACAAAAAATATTAAAACATAAAAGCATCAGCCAACTAATCCAGTGGATGAATGGAGAGGTACAAGGATTCAGCCAAGTAATAATGCTTTCCACAAAACAGTTTAGCTAGAATCGAGTCATCATTAATCTATCAGTATAGGTGAATGTTTTCACCTTGCTAGTCCATCAACAGAATTGCATGCAGTTATTTTTTGACAGCAATGGGAATGCTTAGAAATGAAAGTAACTGATAAACTTGCATAGAACCTCAAATAAAACAAAGTTTAGGCTACTAAAGGATTTCTTAGTGATGTTAATAGTAGTACTTAGAGCTGACCTTTGAGAGTGGTATGATCGTTCAACCTCTGTAACTGATACTGAAGGATAGAGGAATCAAGGTAGGAACGAATTGTTTTCCTATAGGTTCCATTAACAAGCAATAACGGGACAGCTGCTGCTCGCCGTGCGACCGAGAAGGCCATTGCCAAAGCAGGATCCTCTGATAGTGGTAGCCTACAATTTGTATCATAATTAATACATCTTGAAACCATATTTAAATTCAGAAGCGAGATAATCTGAGTACATATGAGAAAGTTCTGATGGTATATGTCAAAGCTAACATAACAGAAACGAACACAAAAGGAATCACAAAAAGAAGTAGCTGACTTTAGAAGATGCATAATGCACAAGGAAGCACAGTATTTAATCTTGGGGGAAAATGGTAGAAATTCATACATGTGCGGGCTAAATGCAGGTTTCTGTGAAGGCAACAACAATGAAGATAGCCCATCCATAAGAGCTTTGAGATCAACAGGCAACTGTTTAACATGTCCAACTTTCTGCATCCATAAAATTTAAAAATAATGATTATAGTTCAAAAAAAAATTAAGAATAATGATTATGTTTGTTCTTCAGAAAATTCTTCTGCACTTCTTGACCAAATTATACCTCCTGCGTGATAAAGAACAACTGAAATGATATTTTCTCGTAATAGTGAAATGCACCATCAGCAACTGAAGGTGATACGATATGTCTCATGGATGCCCACAGCGTTGCACCCAAATGTGCAAGAAAAGTATCCCGTGCAACAGTATAATTTTGAAACTCCTGGAAAGAGACAGATCGATGCTAAACAATCCACTTTTATGATCAAAATGAGTTAATCATCATTGAACTTTTGAATAATTATGTAAGTGAAAACCGTTTGCATAAAATCACCAGAAATAATAAACAAAATACTCCTTGGCCAAGTGATATACCTCATAATTATCACTAAACAGATTCCAATTCTCCATTCGTCTTAGTGCCTCAATGGCCTTTTTCTTATGATTCTCATCATATTCTTCGCCTTCAAAAGACTGGAGCTCATTTCTCAAATCCTGCATTCTCTCATCAAGCTCTGAACCATAGATATTAAGAGTTAGATAACCTCTCAAGCTATACTATATAAGAAATCTCCGAAATAGACAGCCCAAAACCCTTAGATGCATGCAACCATATAGGAATAATAAGTCAAAAGGAAACACAAAACTTGCTCTTCCCCAGATTAACAAGGATCATAAATTTTCTTCTCAAAAAAAGAAGGAAAAAGAATAATGATGAACTTTCTGATTTTAGCTATATCTGCATGTGCAGGTCTTGAGAAATATGTTATCATCACAACCAGAGAAGAAACGACAAATTGCAAGTGCACGAATCAGGGACACCCTAACAAACCACAAACTATTCTAACAATCAGCCCCTTCCCAACCGAGGAAAAAAAATACAAACAAAAAGGTAGAGATAAATCAATCTATGAAAGCTCTAAAGTTGTGGACAAGCACCTTCACAAAGAGCAAGCTTTACTTTCCTTCCCTTGCAGTGTTTGAAAGCAAAAAGCTCGTATACGTCAATTTCTGCTAAAAGAATGTCAATAGCCTGATGATCTTTCTGCAATATTTACATAGACAATCAATTAAAAGCACACTAAAACATATCATCCAGTTAACAAAAATGCAGGTAGAAGATTCTAATAAGTTTTTTTTTTTCAATTGAAAAAGATATATCATTAAGAATGAGAAGGGACCATTACAAAAACAATAAATAAGATATCCTACTGAAGATGATGCTAGTAACGAAACAAAATAACATAACATCACAAATGACAAAATGGAACCACAGCGATCACGTGGTTATTGCTTCCTAGTCCTATGGAGAATAATAAGGGAGATGTCAGATAATTTCCCATGTGCCTTGGCCCATAGAGAAGCCAAAAAGATCATATTCTCCCATAATATAGCATCTGGGAAGGATCGATTATCAAATAACCAATGGTTCCTTTCCAACCAAATTATCCATAACCTGTGAGCAGTAATCCTGCAATAAGTCTTGCTTTCTTCCTTAGCTCTACACTTCCAATATTGGAATGTATAACATTCCAATATTGGAATCAATATTAATATAGAATATAGAAATTAAATAAAAAATAAAAAAAATAATAATAAGTAATACAATAATTTTTATTTTTTCTAACTATTTTTAGAGATCGAATTCTATCTTCATAGATTTCTCGAGAAATTTTCTTACGAAGTTTTGTTATAGCATCTATAACTGCCTCTGGTTTAGGTGGACAGCCCGGCAAATAAACATCCACAGGAATTAGCTTCTACACCACCTCATATTGATGGAATAGATGGTTGTGTGTTTTCCCTCCTCAACAACACATCACAAAATGTCTAGAGATAAAGCTCGATTAGCCATACAAACTTCCAATAGCTCTAGTATTTAATTGATTCAGAACTGCAGTCTAGACAAACAACTTCACCTTATTTGCCAAAATGCATTGGTAAAGGGCTATAGTAACAGGCAGGATGTTTGGTAATCTGATTGAAAAAAGATTCATGAGCATATGCACCCGATGATTTTAGATTCCATACCCCGCAATCTGGTTGTTGGTATGGCTGAAAAGGTTCTAATAGGCTCAACAGAGTAAGAAGTTATTTGATTTCTCTGCCATTCAAGTTGCAGAAGAAATGAAAGTTCCACTTTGTATCACTCTTGGTAAGGTAGAAAAACTATTCAACTGGGGCTTTGTGGCGTGAGGAGATTCGGAAAAGTGGAGAAATTGCATGGCCAAGGAGCAGTTGCTCCTCCAACAATGCTCCCAGAATA